GTTCCCTCTTTCCAACCCACTCTCCCTCTACCCTCCCAGTATCGCCACTCGCACCACTGGTCCTGAAGGGATCATCCGCCCTGGGTTCCCTGTATTTCCAGTTCCTATCTGTACAGTGTACATCCTCTGTTCTAGCCAGACTTGCAAGGTAGAATTCGTATCATGATAGTGGGGGTGGGGAGGAAGCATTTAGGAACTGGAGGAAAGTTGTATTTTTCATCGTTGCTACAGCACACCCTGACTGGCTCGTCTCCTCCCTGAGACCCCTCTGCAAGGGGATCTCCAGTGGGACATGGCCTTTTATTTGGTCATGAAAGCCACAAGAAGATCAATTGGTTCATGTACAGAACTACGACAGTCAGCGAGAGTTGCAATAACCATGGAATCAAGACCCCCAGAAAAGAGAATTGTGACATTTGCTTTCCTACCACGAGTTTCCAAAGTTTCATTTGGTGTCATGCTTTCATCCCTAGGTAAACATAAAACCCGCCTCTTGACTGAGATACTCAGTCCCTCATGTGTGTGATGAGACAGACTGGAAGTGTCTCTCTTGTATGGGAGGCCTCTGGAAATTCCGGTGCAATGAGTCTCAAATTACTTTGTGGTAATATCATACTTGAAGGAACAATACATAAGTTTTTCAAATATAGTTCAGCTTCATGTGCTTTCTCTAGGCATACTTAGGCAACTTTGCTGAAATTTGAGTCAGGCTATTAACACACTCTTACATAACATCCCTCCCAAATTATAATTAATTCCAAGGATATAATTTTAAAATCACATATTTGGAAATGGCGGTGGATTTGAGATCAGTTCTGAAAGTTCCAGATACTGGAGCTTCTTGCCACTAACTGGCTACTCCAGATGTCTGGGTGCCAAATGAAGAGAAGCAGAAACTATCACTAAATGATTAAAATGCCAAAGCAATCTATGGTGCCCCCAAGAGTCCCTACCCAGTCGTAATGACCAGAAGCCTGATAATATATAAAAGACCAAGGACCCTGGACTTTTGAGAAGAGTGCCAAAATGTACAAGAGGAAGGATAGTTAAACATAATTAGAGTATCATTCTCTTCAGTTTGACTTTTATTCCATTAAAGCTTTTGCCCTTCCACAGAAACACATTGCCTCATTCGTCTTCCAAAGGCTGCTCAGTTACACTTCTCAAGTGAAGGGTGTGTTCAAAACATGAACACTGGTACTTTGCATCAGACTTTAACAGCTGTTTATTCCTGCTGGGCCCACTTTGTTTACGATTATACAGTAAATCTTCTTTCACATCTTTTCTGACATGTTCAACAGCAAAGCTTGTAGAACAACAAATGTCACACATTCTTGAGTGAAATTAAGTTGACTATTTCTTGCTCTTACTCTTTTCTGAATTTTCCATTTGTTGGTATACTTTTTCCAGCTCATCCAATATATGTTTGCTTTCAGAAAGCATTTCTGTTCGGTTTGCAAGGAAGAATATGCTGCTTCTGTTGCTTACATACTTTCCTATTTTTCCTCAAGTTAGAACAATTCACCTGCAAAACTTTTTGTTCTTTAATGTTGCTGCTAAGATCCTCTTTGTGAGATGTTCAGTGGTCAGAAGGGACCAGATCAGAGTTGAAAACTGGATGCACCCCACAGCTGGGCATCCCCATGGAATGTGTGATGCACATTATATGCTGCTGAGACATGCCTTAGCTTCCCAGTGCTTTTACTTTCTAGCCCAGACAGACAGCAGTGGGTTCTGTTATTTGGAGCCAAGTGCTTTGACTGATATAGATGTGAATGTCAGGGATTAGGTTTCATGTAATAAAATTTAAGGATACTGCAGAAACTTGAAGTGATTATCCGTGTGCCTAGGTCAGTTGAAAATATCATTCATATTATGGAGGGGAATATGGTAGCATCTGCCATGAAGTTGTTGCATTCCTTATACTGTTTTTAAATATTGACCAAAATTGAAGACAATAGATTATCCTCCTTGACTGAAATAATTGCAGCAGTTTCCATTCAGTACACATTTGCTAACTTAATGTCTACTGTGTAGTCACATAACAATGATTCTTCTAATTTAGCCCTTACATTAAATAAAAAAAGTTTCTTGCTGTTCTGTTCTTTGTTCTATTCTTGTTGTACCACATTGGATGATTTTTTTCATCATATATGACTTTTAGGATGATCTATGTGCAAGTAGCTAAAGATTCAAATAAACTTATTGACTTCATATTTATTTTGGAAAACAAATTTTAACAGTCTGAATTTATATGTTATAAAACCCATATATTTCCATTACACAATATGAAATGTACTTCATCTCATGCTCTGGGTCTTCAGAACACCTGGAGCAGCTCTGCTTCCTCCTCCTATGGGGCTGTATGTCAGTTTGTGTAGCTTGGGAAGCCTTTGAATATCATCATTCTCATAGATAAGTCTGAAGTATGCATAATTTGAAAATTGTGGAGTGAGGTTGAAACTTCTGATGGCACTAGAAATCTTGCAAAAAGAATGACAAGTTCAAAATTCCTATTGATCCAAGGGTTTATGGGATAACTGAAGCATGGCAATATAAGCATAGAAATTCTGAGCTGGTGGTTACATAATCTGTTGTCAATTTGAGATTTAAGAGGGAAGGGGTGGAGTTTAGCCTGTCAGTCAGGTCTCAGCTTGATGACATCCTTTGGAGGCCCTAAGAAAATAAATAGCTCACTGGAGGTGGGACACATGCTCACTTCCCGTCATTCCTGTTGACAAGACACAAGAGTTACCTCAGAGCTCTGGAGCCAGAGGAGCCACACGGAGAATCCTGCCGGGATGGAGATTGCCATGGGATCCCCCAGACTTTCCACCCACTGACCTGTGATCTTCCTACATTCGGCATCATTGCATGTGTTTCATGAGTCTGAAGAGGAATTTATAGATTGGTATCAGGCGTATGGGCTAATATCGGACTTATGGACTTGATCTGAACTGGGCTGGGATGTTTTCTCAATATGAAATTGCTCTTGTATATAAAATTCTCTCTTACACACATAAGAGTGTTTATGAATTTGTTTCTCTAGTCTACCTGGACTAATACAGGGTTCAAACACACCATCTGCTCCTCCAGAGAATGATGAGCTTGTCTGCAACCTTAAAGATTTAGAGTCTCAGAAACCCTATACATAGTTGCTATGAGTTACAATCAACTCAATGGCAGTGGGTTTTGTTTGTTTGTTTTGTGTTTTGAATACAAGTGGATGGCTCAGTTAACCAATACCTTAATGCCATGTTTGATTTTGTGATTTAACAAATTATAAAATCACTTCAAATCTAAGCCTTGACAGGCCACTTTAGTCAAAGTCAGTCACTGAAATAAAATGATGAAGAATTCAAGAATAAATAAATTTAGAGGAAACCCCCCAAACTCAAAAATCACTTAGATTCCCTTTACAGCAGAAGCATCTCATCTTTTTTGTGTGATGTGGATATTTCTCTTTTCCCTTAATGACTAGGTCATTTCTTTGCCTATAAAACATAAATTTCAAGAGAAAGATACTTTTACTAATTCCACTATCTCCAATATATTATATTCTCCGGGCCTGCAACTAGAGTAAGATCCTATCATCTCCCTCAACCACCAAAAAGGGTTAAGGGTAAGATAATAAATCAGAAGAAGGCATATAGTCAGAGACATGGAATTATATGAAAAAAGAACGGTGCATCAGGATTGGAGGAAGACTTACTAACAACATGCAGATGACACAACTGTGCTTGGTGAAAGTGAGAAGAACTTGAAGCAGTTGCTGATTAAGATTAAAGATTGGAAACTTCAGTACAGATTAAAACACAATAGAAAACAAACAAACAAAAAATCCTCACAAAGGGACAAATAGGTAGCATCGTGATAAATGGAGAAAAGATTGAAGTGTCTAAGATTTCATCTTTTGTTTTATATAAATCATTTTATTGGGGACTCTTATACCTCTTATAACAATGCATACATCCATTGCATCAAGCACATTTGTGCATATGTTGCCACCATCATTTAAAAAAATAATTTTATTGGGGACTTGTGCAACTCTTATCACAATCCATACATCCATCCACAGTGTCAAGCACATTTGTACATATGTTGCCATGATCATTCTTAAAATATTTATGCTCTATTTGAACCCTTGGTATCAACTCCTCATTTTTCCCTCCCTCCCCTCCCCCCTCCCCCATGAACACTTGATAATTTATAAATTATTATTATTTTGTAATATTTTACACCATCCGACGTCTCCCATCACCCACTTCTCGGTCACCCACTTCTCCGCTGTCCATCCCCCAGGGAGGAGGTTATACGTAGGCCCTTGTAATCTGTTACCCCTTTCTCCCTCACCTTCCCTCCACCCTCCCAGTATCACCAGTCTCACCACTAGCCCTAAGAGGTTCATCTGTCCTGGATTCCCTGTATTTCCAGTTCCTATCTGTACCAGTGTACACACTCCGGTGCAGTCAGATTTGTAAGGTAGAATTGGGATCATGATAGTGGGGGAGAGGCAGTATCCAAGAACTGGAGGAAAATTGTATATTTCATCATTGCTACACTGCACCCTGACTGGCTCGTCTCCTTCCCGCAGCACTTCTGCAAGGGGATGTCCAATTTCCCACAAATGGGCCCTGGGTCCCCACTCCGCACTCCCCCTGAGTCACAATGCTACGATTTTTTTTTTTTTTTGGTCTTTGATGACTGATACATTATCCCTTCGATGCCTTGTGATCTCACAGGCTGGTGTGTGTCTTCAATGTGGGCTTTGTTGTTTCACCTCCATCATTTAAAAAATATTTTCTTTTTACTTGAGCGCTTGGTAACAGCTCATCTTTTGTCCCACCCACCCCACATTCCTACCCTTGTGAAACCTTGATGAATTATAAATTATTATTAATTCCATATCTTACACTATTCGCTGTCTCGCTTCACCCATGTTTCTGTTGTTTGCCCCCCTGGGGCAGGAGGTGTTGGTTATATATTGACCATTGTGATCAGTTCCCCCTTTCTCTCCTTCACCTCCACCTTCCCCCTAATATTACTGCTCCCATTATTGTTTCTGAGGGGGTTGTATGTCCTGGATTCTGTGTTTTGGGAGCTCTTATCTCTACCAGTGTTCATGCTCTGGTCTAGCCAGATTTCTTAAGTAGAACTGGGATCATCATAGTGGGGGGAAGGAAGCATTAAAGAACAAGAGGAGTGTTGTGTATTTTGTTGGTACTATACTGCACACTGGCTGGCTCATTGCTTCCTTGAGACCCTTCTGTGAAGGGATATCCAATTGTCTACAGATGGGCTTTGGGTCTCCACTTTGACCTCCCTTGTTCACATCAATATAATTGTTTGCTTTGGGTTTTTTGATGCCTGATACCTGATCCTGTTGATACCTCATAATCACACAAGCTGGTGTGCTTCTTCCATGTGGGCTTTCTTGCTTCCCTGCTCGAGGTTCACTTGTTTAACCTCAACCCTTTAATACCCCAGACACTATGTCTTCTAATAGTCAGGCACCATTAGCTTTCTTCACCACATTAGCTTATGCACTTATTTTGACTTCTGTGAACATGTGGACAAGATGAGAATCACAGAATACCAGGTTATTAGAACATAGTGTTCTTGCGTTGAGGGAGGACTTGAGTAGAAGCCCAATGTCCATCTGCCACAAAACTCATAAGTTCCTGGGGTGAGGCCCAGGCACTCTGGAAGACCCAGTCAAGGGATGCATATGGCAGCCAAGTAAAAAGGAAGGGAAAAAAGAGAGAGAGAGAGAAAATGTATTGGGGAACAGGACACTAACCCGCCCATGAGGAGGGCATTGTTTATATCTCCACAGGAAAGGGAGAGAGGGACCAGATCTCAGCATGATACACCAAGCCTTGAGGGCCACACACTGGCATAAAGCAGTGAATTAACAAAGAGATATGTGCAGCCAGCCCAAATCCAAGCTATATCAACCCCCTCCACAGAAGATTGCACTACAGAGGACAGCACTGAAGTTACAACCAGGCAAGAGTGGCAATTATGCCCACACCACAAGGAAGCAAACTAATAGGGAAAGAGAGAGAGAGTGGACCACATCCTAGCCCACCAAGGACTGAGGATGACACTCCTGCATACAGCACCCAAAGCACAGAGAGGACCATAGAGGCGGCCCCACCATGAAGCATAATGTTCTCTCACTGACTCACAATGCTTCAGGGGACAGCACTGGAGACAAAGGGTGGGGGTTGAGCCTGGTCTGACTCCCCCACACCAGAGCAAAACACAAAGGGAGCACAACAGAGCAGCAAGGGGAGCAAAACAACGAAGTCCCTGAGCAATCCCCAAAATATATTTCAGACTCAGAGGGCAGACCTTGGCACCTCATCAGACTCGATCCGAAAACATACTTAAAGGTCAGCAAACAGACCTGGTACTATTACACACACAAACTTCTTCTTCTTCTTCTTCTCCTTCTTCTTCTTCTTATTTATCTATATAAGATAGGAAAGATAAGCAATCCTGAGGAGAAAACAACAGGACTGATGGTTCTGGGGAGACAAGGAAGAGGATATGGTGGGGGAAAGAGAGGTGGGAGCCAACAAATCCAGGGACAAAGGAGCAACAAGTGATCTAAAATTAATGCTGAGAACGAGGGGGGTT